CTATATCCTTCTGGTCCACTTTTGAAGTTCAATACTATCTCCCAGTTATCGAGTACATTAGAGCAGACTTCATTATCGACAAGTCCATTTCATTCTATAATGATATTTTTTTTCACAATAAGAAACATATTACATCACAGATATATATAAATGAATGATTGCCTTACAAAATAAACTGATTTTATTGATAAATTAAAATTCCTCGTTAAATAATTTTCAAGAACAGATATTGAAGTTTATCTAAATAATGAGACTTTTCCATTTTATATCAATTGCACAAACATTTAAATAAAAGTTTTTTGTTTTTTTTTTGTAATTTCTTACCTGAACCAATGCACAAGTCCAAGGTGAGTTAACAGTCTGGTGCCTGAACGGCGATTTCCTTCACAGATAACCAACTTATACACAGTCACAAAGATTCAACAATCACTAAGTAGTCTAACACTTACATTTTGCAGGTATTGTAATTTTTGATACTTTGCCAAAGAAATATTTAACAACAGAAATTTTCAAAGTAATTATGTGGTTTTTACAAAGACTAATTGTACAAGTAACAAAAATTTGACTATCTTGGTGGTAATGAACATTCTTTTATAATCTTATTTTGAAAAAAAATTGGTTCTGTTTGTGATTTATGGACAATTTGTAAAACTATAACAAAATTACACGCTTCACTTTTCATTTCTATCAGTTTGTTATACCATAATTTGATATTATTCCAGTATATGTTAGTAACTTTGTGATGGCTTTGAGGTCTCCAAGGGGTAGAAAAGTTTAAAATTTCAATATTTTACAATATGCTGCTCTGAACTGACATCTTCTGATTCGATTTGTGCAGAGGTTCTCCGAACAGATTTAGCATCCACAGTCAAATCAATAATGACATAAAGAGAAAAAATAAGCACACAAATAGCCTTCTATAATTTTCATTACACAGAGTCAATGCTCCAATATCAGAAATCCCTTTGTTAGAATACTTGGTATTCACCACACTCAATTCAAGCATTCACAATTCATCATATTGGAAATGACTTTAGAAATTGCTATTACTGACTTTTGGCCTTTCAGCAAACAAGGGGGATAATTTTTCAGGAACTTCTTTCAGCAACAAAGGTGATTAATTACTTAGAAAAGGGAAATAATACTTAGAAAACGCCTTTCTTTGGCAGATAAGGTAGATAGTTACTTTAGAAACTCTTCTAACCAGACCAAAACAAGGGAGATAATTAGTTGGAAATGTACAACCATAGTAAGCTAAACTTGAAAAAACAAACTGAAGATTTTAACTTAAAAACATACAAATGTAATTAGCGATACTACATCCTCAGTGACAAAGATATGTATATAAGAAGTGAAGTTGCTTTTACTGTTCTGTATGCTAAAGTAGATAGATACAAAATATTTCAACCAGACATAGGAGAAAAGCTTTTGTTGTATTTGATAACCATAAGAGAGTACTGACACAACAAAACAGTCTTGCATCTTACTAATAAGGTTCCTTAAGAGTATCTCAGGGTACGGCCTTGTCATTGTGTACAACATCACCTGGACTTCATAGTCAGCTAACAAACAAGACTTCAGGAATATTTTGTTTTACATGCATAATGCTTTAATTAACCAACCCTTTGTGTATTCTAGCAATTGTTTACCTTAAAACAATATAAAATATCCAGTAAACACAGATTTTTTTTTTGACAAGACAGAGATGTAACGATATTGGAAAGAATGACAAATTATATTAGTAATGTATGTATGTTTGTGTAAATTGATCCTCCCAGGGGTCATTTAAACCCCCAGCTGTCATACACTGCCTTGTGGGGCATATGTTGTTCTATTTCTCCTATACACCTCATGATAATAAATATTGAACGGGTGCAGTCTTACATAGATACCCCAACAATACATCGTATTGGTAACACAGAACATAGCCATGTGTTTGTCTCTCTTTTATCATGAGTTCTACTAGGAACCACTATAACAATGATATTGAGTAAGACAACACATGAGTTGCAGAGAAGAGCTCTAATGTTGCAAAATTCTATGAGAGTCTATTTTAAGCAAACAATAATTGTAACAATGCCATATACATAACAAGGACACAATGACCTCTATAAAACCTATTACATTTACCTGGAGTCTATCTAAAAAACTCCTAGTCAAGCCTGCTGAAGGAAACCTTCTAAGATCCTTGTGAGCAACATAGTATCAAATATAAATGGGTATGGGGAGTTTTACGAGCCTTAAAAGGATATAACACAATATCGCCTGTATGCACCACCAAAGGTATCCAAAGAAGAAAAAATGAATTGGAAAAACACATATCTCAATTAAAAAACTTGCATTGAAAGGAATCTTTAACATCGTAACAATTTGTAGGAACAACCCTGCCATTCATCCTTTCTGATATAGAAGTATTCAGTAGACTATAAATCACAACCAATTTAACGGTTCTCTATACATGAGCCATTCAATCTTAGCTTCAATAGTCTCAATGAATTTCTAGTCACACAAAAAATCAGTACCATGACATTGATAACAAAAGTTTTATCAAACTCTTTAAAAATTCAATTAATAGTGACCGTTACTTGTTGACCACAAATGTGACTTGAAGAGAGGATAGACCTGTGCAGGCTTAAATTACAGACCAGTAATAAGGAATCTGAGGCTGACCTACAAAGGGTAACACTTTAGGGAATCAATATGAGTTTTGAAATAAATAAGAATTTCAATGTCAATGCTATATTAATTTTATCAACAAGATAAATTGTTTTTACGCTCATGTGAGATTTTCTACCTCATACAAGTACAGATTCTATGCCTGTTTACAGTGTCAATGAGAATATGTGAAGACCCTGTAAGTTTAATTGATAAACCAGACAGACCAGCCAGTATAAAACATGGAGGACATCATTCCTAGGACAGAATCATCAGATAAACCGGACAGAACAGCCAGTATAAAACATGGAGGGTAATGCCATTCCTAGGACAGTATCATCAGATAAACCAGACAGAACAGCCAGTATAAAACATGGAGGGTAATGCCATTCCTAGGACAGTATCATCAGATAAACCGGACAGAACAGCCAGTATAAAACATGGAGGACAACGTCATTCCTAGGACAGATAAACCGGACAGAACAGCCAGTATAAAACATGGAGGACAACGTCATTCCTAGGACAGTATCATCAGATAAACCGGACAGAACAGCCAGTATAAAACATGGAGGACAACGTCATTCCTTGGGCAGAATCATCAGATAAACCAGACAGACCAGCCAGTATAAAACATAGAGGACAACGTCATTCCTAGGGCAGAATCATCAGATAACATGGAGGACAACGTCATTCCTAGGGCAGAATCATCAGATAAACCAGACAGACCAGCCAGTATAAAACATGGAGGACAACATCATTCCTTGGACAGAATCATCAGATAAACCAGACAGACCAGCCAATATAAAACATGGAGGACAACATCATTCCTTGGACAGAATCATCAGATAAACCAGACAGACCAGCCAGTATAAAACATGGAGGACAACGTCATTCCTAGGGCAGAATCATCAGATAAACCAGACAGACCAGCCAATATAAAACATGGAGGACAACGTCATTCCTAGGACAGAATCATCCATATGGTATGAAAGGTTTGTTCCAAGTGTACATTATGCTTTCAAAGGAGTGTAATACGTGGGTAAATAGGGCCATATAGAACAGATATGGTACATTACATACAAAACCTACACACAAGGTAGGGGACTTCCCTTCACAAATGGCCTGAGTATTGAAGTACAACCCCATAACTAATGCAGTCATGCATCTCTGGTCAGATTTAACAACAATCAGCAAAGTCTGGTCAGATTTTAAACTGTGTTGTAAATCAATATTAAATCTTGTATCTCTTATTAAACTTTAAAAACTGCATTAAATTTTAATTAAAGTTTGATAAATGGAGCAATTATCTTAAAACATCATATGTCATCAGAGAAACTTAGTGTGATGATTGTTTGCTAGATTTACCATGTTAAGTTGACAGTATAAAGACACCTGTGTATATGACTCAGGAAGGAACATTGAATCATAAATGGTTCAGGTTCCCATTAACACACCAATAAAGTCTATAGGGCAACATACAGGACACAACTCAATCCTTCAGTAACCAGTAACCCTGCCCAAGTCGAACAAATGGCTTCACATTTCAATCGAACCAGCTCCAACCCAGTATAATTCATTGATCTATTCTCTATTTTTACACCAAAAAGGAGCATTTTATCTCTAGAAGTGTTATTCATTTTACATTTAGATATAACAATGATCCAGAGGTGTAATAAAGGCCAGGATCTTTTGTCCCAGATCTTGCATCCAATATTGTGAGTTTCATCTGCACTGTATCAATTACTTCAAGTTCATGAAATGCTTGCTAGAGCAGACTTAAGTCAAATCAACTAAAAATAAGATGAATAGCTATAAAATGAGATGGAAATTTGTTAATTCAAATAATTTAATGTAACTGAAATTATCGAGTAATCGACCACTCCTGAACCCTTAAAACTGCACACAAGATTTTATTGAGGAAAGGCAAGGGAGATAAAAAATACAATTAAAAGACAAGAAAGAATGTTAACCACATGACAGCATCAGAAAAGGTTTCTCAATTTGTTCCATGTCATATGAAGGGGTTATTCTGATTTGATTTCCTCTTCTGCTCAATCATCTTGCATACTTCCAGGTATCCTATTAAAGAGTTAAGGACCCTTAGATACGCCTAAGCATAAACAATCTGTGTTGGTTCCACTCCCTGCTCCTCTCTTTATAAAGTACAATGTATACCTCTATAGGGAAATCCTTACCATTACTTCCTGGTTATTTCAACATTTTTCTACATATGAAATAGTACTAGCTACTACATTTCATTTCCAAATCATAGCAAAGTAAAAAAAAAAAAGGAGGATGAGGAAGATTTAGAAGAAAAAGATAACAGAACTAGATGCAACACAAACCTTTTCACTCATGGCGTTGTACTTGATGCCGAGTTCATCCCTCTCTGCCCGACTAGCCGCCAATAGGTCCTCAACACGGTTTAGTTCTGAGGCAAGGAGTTGGTTCTCCTCCTGGACCTGAGCCAAACTTGATGACGAAGCCATCCTTCCAGGACTAGGGTCTTCAGAGGTCAAGTTCTTTGTGATTATCTCCCTTATGCGGGCAGGTATCTTAGAGGGGTTGCTGTCCTCCCCTCGTACTGTGTAGTCCTCGCTGTCCCTCAGCACAGAGTCTTCCAATTTCTAAAATATACAATTTATCTTTATTAATAGCGAATTATTTCTAGATTAGTTCCTCAGCACTTCGTCTTCAAATGTCTGCATAAACAATGTTTCTTTATCTATTGAAATATTTCTAGATTTGATAAAGTTATAGTCAGTTGATTTTTCTGTGTTTAAAGCAAGATCTGCTTGATTTACCTACTGAAGTACTATAAAACAATTATTACAGAATGCAAGAGTCACAGGTCAACTGTATGTACTCAACATTGAAAATCCCACCAGAAAACACATAAAAAGGAACTCTTTTTGTAGTCCTCAGTTCACAACTATAGGAATTTGTCAATATTTCACAACCACCTTCATCTTGGTAACATGAATAATTCTTAAATCATTATTCTTGGCCAGTCCAAGTCAAAGCCATAGAAAAGTCATGTAGAAAAAGAATAAGTAAATTTGAGTGCCTGCTTAGATATTCTGTAAAAATCAATTTTGTCAAAGAAAGTCAACAATTTTAACCAAATTACCTTTACAGATATTTTCTTATCATTAACATACAAAAGCTAAAATAAAAAAAAAAGAAACAAGAAAAAATTCCCATCAATACATATGAATTACACTTTATTATAAGTATGAACATTATACAGTAACTATATCAACAGGCAGGTTACCTATAGTTACTAAGACCTGACACCCCTACACTTCACAAATAGATTCTACTACTAATTAAACAGTCCATACCATGAAGGCATGTAGGGGTAAAACTCAGATAGTACATCACAATTATTGACTTCATTATAATTAGTCAGAGCACTTTGCACTATAACATAAGATTCTGTCGACTAACTTCCGGCTACAGGACCGGTCAATAGCTCTGTCAATAAGTTTGATGGAATACTGCTCACTTAGCAATTCAGTCACCGTAGTGCTGCGACAGCACAATTTACCATGGTCAATAATTTAGTGTGTTACTTTAGTACAACAGGAAATTTGACATGTTATATACATATACCTGGGGTTAGATTGTGTTTATTCAACAAGAAAAATCATTGATGGACCATTTTAAAGTGAATTCTGCGACCCAATGGAATGTTAATGCTAACTGTGAGTGTGTAATAGAATGGTTCATACACAATAGTGCCGAGGGAAATATTGGTCCACATGTGTACAATACTAGGATTTATCACAACAGCTTCACCTCTTACATAAACGTAGAAATACGCACATGACTAATGGAAACAGACAAACCTTATGTGTATAACTTCAGTTCACTGCTCTCAGATCTGACACATTTTCCTTTTCCAGGATCCATATATATATATATAACCGCTCAGTAAATGCCGATTGAACATTTCACAAGTTTACACTAGAACTACCTCAGAACATTGAGTATTACCAAAACCATTACTTCCGAACATTTAATATGACCAATAACGTTACTTTAGAACATTTGGTATGACCAAAGCACTTCAGAACATAGGGTACCACTAATTGTTCTACTTCAGAACATAGGGTACCACAAATAGCCCTACTTCAGAACATCGAGTACCACCAATAGCACTATTTCAGAACATACGGTACCACCAATAGCCCTACTTCAGAACATAAGGTACCACCAATAGTCCTACTTCAGAACATAAGGTACCACCAATAGCCCTACTTCAGAACATAGGGTACCACCAATAGTCCTACTTCAGAACATGGGGTACCACCAATAGCCCTACTTCAGAACATAGAGTACCACCAATAGCAGTATTTCAGAACATAAGGTACCACCAATAGCCCTACTTCAGAACATTGGATACCACCAATTGCCCTACTTCAGAACATTGGGTACCACCAATAGCCCTACTTCAGAACATAAGGTACCACCAATAGCTCTACTTCAAAACATTGGGTACCACCAATAGCACTACTTCAGACCAATGCAATATTAATACTGTACCAATACAGTTAGCATTGTTTCTGAATATCTGGCAATTTTACTTATCACTACTTCAGGATGTTGAGTATTTTCAGAAAACAGTAAAATGATCATGACTTATGAAACCTCAATTGATGTGAAAAATGTTATTTCCTATCTGTATTTATAGAGTACAGTACTGTAGCTGTTTTTGTTACCTGTACATCAGTAGAATTACAAAAAAAAATTCAAATTTATACACTAAAACTTATCCTAATACACAACATTGTGTGAGAATGCTAGGGATTATTACATTACTACAATTATATCTGTATCTTTGGTTAATGAAATAAAAAAGACATGATATATAGTTATGTAATAAAGTTACAGATCTCCCTTACATAATCAAACCGTATATAAAGGAGATGAGCTAATCGAGGAAATGTCTTGGTTGCAGAAATGGCTGCGAGTTGAGACAAGAATGTCTACAAATTATCTAAAATCCCAAGGCCTACAACTGTGAATGACATAAATAAATACAGAGTAAGAAGAATATGCTTCACACCAGCATGTGAAGTCACTCCTTTTATTAAAGGAACATGAGTGAAGAACATTCGATTAAATTCTACGTTGTAAAGAAATGTAAGATCTTTTTCAAAATAAGATGGAAGTCGAAAGTAGAATTTCTGCCAAGTTTTAAACGTTGACACCAATTGAACTGTGGTTTACTCTACTTAAACTAGTAAAAAATATTTGAAATTGAATTTGTATATGTATATCTACGTCCTATAGATGTGATATCCTAGATGTGTATGATGATATATCTAACATCTGTATGATGATATAATAGATCAATAATGTCATTCACTTCATTAGCGACTTATCCAGGATAAAATATATACTAAATAGGGTGTTTATTGATCATACACTGCCTGGATCATCATTACACAGTGGTGATGTTACAAGCCATTCTAACACCCACCATGTAACAGATACACTGATCACGATATTGACATCAATAAAAATGACAAGAATCTAGCAAAATTTTCAACCGTTGATTACAATAAAAAAAATTAATGATCAAACCATTCAAAATACCTTGATGTCAAAGTAAATATTTAATTAATCAGAAAATCAATTGCTGAACATCATTTAATGTTACATGTTAAAGCCTGCAGACCAGGAACAGGATGCATGTGAACATTATACATGTAACTAAATCGCCTGTCAATATTAATACTTAAAATCTGTGTTTTTATTAACTGGCTTTGACGGTACATAAGTTCAATGAGTACGAATTATTAAATAGGAATATCTAGCCTTAACAGGGAGAAAACAGCTCTTACAGCAGATTTCATCTCATTTAAATAAATCTTCTATTGCAAAAATCCTTCCATTAATAAGATCTAGTTACAGAGTAAAACTTTGTAATTCTATTGAATATTTATCTCTGAATAATTAATTCTGAAATCAAAGTGATGGTACAGAAAAAATTACCTTGTATACTTTAAAAAATATCACACAGATATCTTTAAAGCTAGTGAACATTGGAAGGTCAAACTTTACACAAAAAAGAAGTAGGTTGAATTTTCAATAAATTTAATTTATCTATCATATCACATGACCTTCTAAAAAACAGAATTTGTCACAATAACCAAGCATACCATTAAGTAAAAACTTGCAGATTTCCTTTTAAAACTTAAAATATTATCATAAATCAGTTGAATTGGTAAACAGGTTGATGGTGCCTGGTGTGATAGTATGTATTTTCATTTCACTAAAATGTCTCACATAAGAATTTTCAGTCAAGAAACATGTATTTAACAGTGAAAACTCAGTAGTTTTTTTATTGTAAACTGTAATTATAGCCCTGACAGAGTACCTTTCTACACCCCATACTGCCATAATGATTACACACACAAGTCCACATAGGTCCTGACTTGTCGCTCGCAGTGAGTGTCTTCTGACAGTATTTACCAACACATATAACCAGTATTGACATTGGTCACAAGTTTATATACAGATCTGTAACCTAACCTAAGGCAATCACAAAGGAATTTGTAAAACGAAACTCCAGAAAACATTAAACACAGAGCACTGCAAGAAATTTTAGACGAAGCATATCGAGAGCTGGAATAAATTTTAGAAGACCTCTAAAGTTTCTGAGTCCAATAAATAGATCATATTACAACAATGTCCAATACCCTGATATTACTTACTCTTTATAAACAACCTCCAAATAAATCAAAATAACAAACAAAGATATTTATATCTATCTCATAAATTAATACAATTATTTCTTAAACAGCATACTATATGACTCAAAAATTCAAATATTTTCAATTAAATGTAAATGATACAACAGATTCATCAAAATATTTTGAAAATGGTTTTGTCGATGTTTCAAATTTTTGAAATTCAATCAAAAGGTTTAAGTAAACTGGATCTATTTTTTAATGAATACATGTTATATTGAATATATTATGATAACATGTTTTCATTTTTTTCTTCTAATTTTGTAAGCTTCTTCATGTCTGAAGTTGAGATTTTCAACCATCAATATTTTCTTTCTCTGAAGTATAAAATTTACTTATCATCTAATATGACAATCAGAACAATTACCAGTATATTGAATAAAGAGCATTTGTTGCAACAAATATATTTCAGGTTAGATGATCTAAACTTTATACAAAAGACCTTTTTTTGTCATTTATGCCAAGAAACACATTTGAAATAAAAGCCTTTTATTGAAAGTCAATTAAAACTTAATTTGAACTATGTATGATGCATAAGGTAAACATAACTGGTAAAATTTTCTCCAAATCAGATTTTATAACAATACTGGTGTTTGTATGGTCTTTGTGTACACCTGTTTCATTAAATTATGAAACATATTTTTCAAAGACATCAGCATGATATACAATCATCAAACATTGACACTATTTTGATTTTACAGAAAATTGTTTTAACAGGTGGTCAAAACTTGTCTTCATCAACATGAGATCAGAACTCTGATTTATGAAGTAATATGAAACATCAATCAAAATGATTCTTGGACAATTTAGTATGAGAAGCAGAACATCTTAATATGTGTTATTGCAAACTGCTGAGGATTATTTCCTATCTTTGAATCTTGTGTACCAAATTTTCGAAAATTTCTGCAATCTTATCACTATATCTTGAAATCCCCTGGGCAAATAACTTAGTGAAATACGTGTCTATTTACAACTTATACAGTCAGATGCTGAAGACATATTCCAACTTATACAGTCAGATGCTGAAGACGTATTCCAACTTATACAGTCAGATGCTGAAGACGTATTCCAAACTAAACAAAAAGAAACATTTGATAGAATTTTTGTCATTTTGTACTTGTCCTTACTTTTCAATATTCTTAGATCATCACTTTAAATCTCCATTTATAGAAACTTTTCCTACTAAAATCAGGTATACGTGAAGAAACAATGATAATGTTAAGATTGTTCATCCTCACTAACCAGAATTTTTAAAATTGCCATGATGGTTAATGTCTTAAGAATTGCTCTAATGACATGTTTAAAAATGCCTCTATTTCAAAAGAGTTCCTAATCACAATATTCATAGTGCAAAACACTTATAATTTAGATGTCAGTCATTAAATGCTACTGAAAAGGCCATTATAAAGTTACAATTTTACATCTTTCAGATTAAATCCAATTGAAAGCTGATATGCTGATCTTTGGTGTCCTTCTGAAAGTTTCATATTCCAGAAGGATGTGTTAAATATGCTTTCAGAGGATAATGGAAAAACTTAAACATAAATACTTATCATATTAAAGCGATATTAAGCATCAAACCTAGAGGACTGATAATGCAGGGCATGTATACAATATAAGTCAATTTAAAACCCTTAGAGAACAACTAGAACATTTCAGATGCATTATATACCATTAAAAACTTGAAATAAAACAAATAGTGTTACTGTGTGTAGTACTCAGCAACCAGTAGAGTGGTGCTGTAGAATCCTTTATCAATAATGAAACAATGATTTTACTATGTAATACTATGTGTATGGTTTGCCAATATGGATCCCATTAATTATTGATGATAATAATGAAATTCAAATCCATTTCAGGAATGACATCCAGTCTGACACTGAACATATGGGGGATTATTGAACTGATGATAACAGAGGAACAAAGCCGATATTCAGTGTACCAGGTCGTATACTACAGTAGTAACAATAGTTGTCACAATTTGGTACTGTGTATAAAGCATTGAAATTTGTACACAAACTTTTTTCATCATATGAACACAACTAACATATGTCCTTGATTTGTGTTTATTCCCCTTAGTGCTATACATATAGGTTATAGTTTTAATCTACATGTCACTACACTCGGAGAGTTTCAGGGGGCTGCAACAGCTCAATCGGTAAAGCAATGAACTTAACAGGGGCCATGATAGTTCAGTCAGTAAAACATTGAGAATTGCAAAGTCAGTTAAGGAACCAAGGTTTGAAGTTTGATCCTACTTTTCGTACTCCAGGTTTGTTTTTCTCAGAAAGCTCTGTAATTAGACAGTCCTCAATTGTCTTGGTTGTGTTACTGGGTAAGACCACCTTTCACTCTACTCTGGATTTACAAAAGAAGTCTTTTACATGCTACATGTATATATATGTAATTGTAATTCATATCACTGTCTCTCCTGATTCTGAACTGGTTCTTCAAACTTGGTTTTTGAGTTGTTATGTATGCAGTGCTACAGTAAAAACACAACTGAAACACTGCTTTCATTCATTCTAAAATAGGTAACATACTGAACAATTTACATAGCACCTTAATGAAACCACTACAATAGAAAACCAGTACCTTAAGTGTAATTTTAATTAACAAGGATATAGCAATACATTTCAAGTCATTTTTTGGGGGGGGAGGGGGAATTTTAGGTCTGAATGGGACCTCCTCCCAATTTATTTTATTTCATATGCAAGACAAATTTCTAAAATTTGCAATAAACTTTCCCTTAACAATTCACTAATTTACTTCCATAAATCCCGTCAAAACCAGTGAAAAAAATCCTGCATTATGCAGCTAATTTGGTCAAATATGTATTTTATGACGTTTCAGTACATTGACTGTCCATATCCTTTCTAGCCCCCTTTAAACGTTCAGATAAGATATCTGGTTCAGGAAATGAAACATTGATTACAGCACAACACATTCAAATTTCCAATATTTCTAATTTCTCCACTTAAGTGAAATCCTTCTCCCACAATATCATATTAAGAGGATGCAAAGTTCATCTAAATATATATGAGATATGCAGTGATACCATATATAATACAGTCTTGCTACAACTACAGTATCAATACCATACCCTCTACAATTACTGCTCTATCAATGGATGGTTTAAATTATCAGGGTCATATTTCAAGGAATTCTGGCAGATTTTCAATATCGTCTATATCTACTTTGTAAAGATCAGCCAATGATTAAAGTATTGAAATACAGGTAACCATTTAGTCAAATAAGCTTATCAGCATTTCTCACAAAATAAAACATGCAAATTGAAACAAAATGCTTTTCTTCGAAACGAGAACAAATTTGGTTGTGTCCAATTACTGAGTACAGGATGTTAGAGGTAGAATTTTTTATTAAGTGTAAATTTTTTGTATGACTTGTTAGGATGATCAACTTGTTGTGTCCCAGAAATTGATATAAATGTATGATGTAACAATAAATCACTATTTCACATAATTTCAAATCCAAAGTTTGGAACAAAATTTTAAATACAAATTACATACATATTTATAAGGCAAACTGGCCAATCTCATGTCTAGTGGCTTTCATTGAGGAAGTATAAATTGCTTGAAAAGTGAAAGGTTAAAAATAGAAGATCTATATCTTCATATTGAATATGTAGATTGTACTGTATCAAGCACTATGTTCGAGTCTTTGAAACTCACATTGTGACTAGGACTATGACACTCTCCCTGTGCCACATCATAGTTCAGTTGGAAATCTTTGATTTATCAATACAGATTGAGATTGTTTCATCCACACATTAGAAAACTGTTCTCTTGAGTTAAGAGTGGAATATTAACAAAAGAAGTGAGCATTATGCAACATATACACTTGATCTACAGAGACACAAGTGTTTTATTATTCTCAGAGACAAGTTTCAGCATCTTGGCATACAATATACCCTATAGGTATCAGAACATATTGTCAGCTTTTGACAGGAATACATAACGTCAGTTTAGCGTCTCATGTTGGTGTCACACTATTTGTTCTACCCAGTATTTGTATTTGAAGAAAAATATTTGATTATTAAAATCTACAGCACAAATGTTCTTATAGCCCCGGTATAAACAAACGATGAGCTAGGGTGGATAGCAGGTTTATTTAGACTGGGGAAACCGAGACAAGAAGTTGGGACAAAACTACATAATACCAAAGTAATAAATCAAAAGTTGGTTCAGTTATAGCATTGTTTTTTTGTTTTCTTTTTTTTTTCAATAACTTAATGTTGTTTGTTATGTTGCTTCTGTTGTAAAGGTGTACCCAATGTGATAAATCTTCTAACAAGACGATAAAAATATAAGTTCCTGATGTTTTCCAAAATAAGATATCTCTTGCAATATCTGACATTATCTACCAATATTTTTACTTATCATTTACCATCATTATAACATTTTTCTTTCGAAATAGCGACTTTTTACACTTGGCAATAAAGCTGACAGTGGCAGCCGATTACATGCTCATTTTGACCTCAGGAATGTCTACATTTCGTCAATCTCATATCTATGTTTTTCAGTAAAACTGCAGCTGTACCCATAATGCTAATTTCTCTGCAAGTCGGTCTCGTTCACTGACGCTGTGTAGCCTAGAACGATCTCTGACGGGAGGTGAGTTCATCCTGATGCCAGCCGAAAACATGATACATTCTTCAAGTTTACAACTAATAACAGGAAATGCTAACTTTGTCCTACTTTCTCATTTCCGGTTTGTAAATATCAGTTCCGCAGCAACAGTATAAATTCGTTGCCACGGTTACCGCGTCTTTCGCGATAGTGCACGACTGCTGTGTGTGTATTGAAAGCACGTGCACATGTGTTATATGCGTGAAGCGTTAGATACATCGTACAAAATCCTGTCACTCCATTGCTACAATGTTTATGAAACGGTAAATCTATATTGATAAAGTATTACAATGTAACCAATTGTGAAAAGCATTGTTCTACATATGATATGAAGGCCCATAACATCTACAGCAGTACCTGCGTTAATTAATATCGGGCTGTCGTGACCAGCGGGTATAACAAGAGTGAAACAGAAAGTGTTAAAAACAAAATTTATATACAGTACAGAACATGTGTACGGAGACAATTAAATCAAAGGCTGACGGTGCGTTAAACATCTGTACAAGCGTGCTATATAGTACGGCAATTCACAAATATAAACAAATATAAATAGCCACCTGTATCACCCGTTCCAAGCGTTGATCACGATCTTCAAGTGACATTTGTCCTGCTTGAAGCACCTCAAAACTGGCAGTCGAGGGTCCCCAACATGTGAGTCAAATGTATCAGAGAAATCCCCACAGCAGATGTTGGGTATGCCCCACCTTCCTATATAAGATAGGAAGACCCGTCAATATCTCGAGTTATCTCCTATCGTTAACGTGTACGGTGAATATTCCAGGTGGCGTACATGACACATAGGTATAACTTTACCGATCTGCAAGTCTACGCACGCTGACTGAGCCAGCGGGACAAATGTATACCTACTCGGGGACCTTTAACGAGAGCCAATACACAACCACTAATTAAATACACTGCTTTCACTTAGTCAATCTCTGTACGAATAATTTTTTCCCATTTACAAGCCGATCCATATTTGGAGTGTGTATGTATTATACCCAATCACTGGAGTCAGGCGAAGTGCGCATAAAGATGGAAACAAGCACTACAAACTAGCCATAACATATAACTTCAAAGGAAATTTTCAAAAAGCATTTTCTGATAAAAAATATCACGAATTGTTTTATTGAAATTGAACACAATGCGTCCATTGACCTTTGTTTTTATTCAACACACGCGTTTTTGTTACAAAGCACTGGTGCACGCACCATGCAGGTCTTATCGAACGTACAATTCATCACTTACTTACGTTCTTATCGATCGTGTATGTAGGTAAAATCGTTTGTCACAGGAAAGCTTTATTATACATACTGCCAGCTATACGATCACGGTTTTTATTAACTGATAAGGATTTCCCACTAATCAAATCATAAAACAATATAAGTAAACCTTACTAGTGATTTAACTACTAAAACTCATACAAGATATTGACAGGCAACTGACGGTCAGCATGCTATGATTATAAAACATTGTCTACAATACACAATTGTTATTTCATCTCGCATATGTGTAGTAACCCCCGTTATATACTGGGGATTATATCTTGTAATCCTATCGATAGTAATCTTGCTTTCATGAACAGCAGAAAATGTAATATTGGTGCGGCCAATCAAGCATTTTTGTATATATATTTCTCAGATATAAATATATCTTAAATATCTTTGAATATTCATAATTTATACTCTCCTTACGTAAGGGATTTGACAAACAAACATCCATGTACGTGATAACTACACCTCACCAAGATCATCAGAAGTTTACTAGTGAACTTTCTCTTGTAATATGCTTTACCATAAAGTTCAAAATTACAATAACGACGAACCACTGTAAACAGTAACACACTCGCTAGGTTTGTCAAGTCTAATATTTAATATTACAATTATGTTAAATCCTTACATTAGTTATTGGATATCGGTCTTTCCGGGACATATGTTTGTAATGTGGTAATGAATACGGTGTAAATCATATTAACAAAGGCTGCACGTTCCGTCACGATTAACTGGTTCACGTATCAGGTCATTATTACTGGCTTAATAATTCATCACTATTTACGTAACAAATCTCCACGGACCTCTACAAACGATCGACTCTGGAAGGTACCGAAGTGTGCTAGAGTGACCTCCCTTGACTGAGATTAAAAAAAAATGCTCGTAAAGAAATTTTCAGCTGCTGAAAGCTCCTCTCTTTATCTCCTCTACTAGCACCTCTTTCTCTCCTCTACTAGTATTTTTCTCTCCACTACTAGTACATCTTTCTCTCCTCTACTAGTACCTCTTTCTCCCCTCTGCTAACACATCTTTCTCTCTTCTATGAGCACAACTTTCTCCCCTCTACTAGTACCTTTCTCTCCTCTACTAGCAGCTCCTTCTCTCCTCTGCTAGCACCTCTTTCTCTCCTCTACTAGCACCTCTTACTCTCCTCTACTAGTATTTTTCTCTCCTCTACTAGTACATCTTTTTCTCCTCTACTAGTACCTCTTTATATCCTATAAATAAAGTTTTAGGGTCGTTTTTCCGATGATTTTTTTAACACTTGAGAACCATTAAAGACCATTCTGTGCTAGTCTGTTTGAAGCACTTAACACTAGTAGACTGTGTAGACAGACGGGAAGAATAATTCGGTTTCCAATTTAATCGATCGCTACAAACATATAATATCCCGGTGAAAGACAGAAAAAAAGTACACAGTTCTGTTATTTTCTAACATCTTTTCTATCTATTAATTGATTCCTTTCAATTCAAATATATATGTATAAACATTTAAAGTCAGGATAACATGATGACGGAAGCCAATTGAGACAAAGACGGCGAAAAGGGTTAAAATTTGATGAGGACAGCAGAAAATGGAGGAAAATTTCCAAATCAGCGGATATGAAAGATAAGGTAAGTAAGTATAAAGGTTTCCTATTACTAGCTAGGTTATGGAAGGACTTATTGCTGTTAAATAATATAACATTCTGGTAACAATTTTTTCCCCTGTAAGTAGATTGCAGTGCGAATTACTTAATAGATACCAGACACATTTGGGCAATCAATGGATATTCTGTGCTTAAATGTCATGCTTATGACGAAATGAGAAAGACATATCGACTAAATCCATTCAAATCGGCGCGCACACCCGGACGTGAATATGAAAAGCGCATTTAGCGTAGTACCTTTTATCGGTTATCCGCATTTTGGCGAAAGGTGTTTGGTCGCTTTCAATAACGCATATTCTTTTCAATATTGCAATAATATCACATGATGGTACGTTACCGTATATAGGGTTAACATTGTACCAACTTTCCGTACGATCCGCGTATCGCATTTCGTCATTCTACTAAGCTTTGTAAACAATTGAACTGCTGAGTCGCTGATCTAGCCCAACTTGGCAAGGTTCCCCGATTGGCTTCGTAAACCTAGTCAGCTGAACTGAATACACTAAAACAAAACCCCGTAAAACACGTTACTTTGTGGCAAACAACAGCGGGTTTTTATAGTGTTTCTATTCAACCATTTCGGAACACAAGTCTACTGCCTAAACACGGGTCACAAACCATCACGAGTTAACGATAGATCAGACCAATTCTGTGGGCAAATATTTGGCAATCACTTCTAATTCATAATTGATTACATCATACATCGGGTTTTGAAGGCAATTTTAAAAATATCAGCGCTGTATATGCGTTAATTGCAAAGAACGACAAACCACTGAGTCCCATTTTTTCCAATTGGAAACCACTGAGTACCATTTTTTTTCCAATTGGAAACCACTGAGTCCCAACCGAAGTTTGCGCCTTTGGATTTCCTCACATCAAACTTTTTTTCGTCATCTTCTCGTAAAATGTGTGGGGTTTTTTTTATCAATCTGACGAAAGTTTTGCCGTCCGTAAAAGTTTGTCGATTTCGGTTGGTTGTGCTTTGCAACACTTGTACGTACTTTACAATCCACTACGGTACTACCAAACCTTTCTGGTTAGCATTCCTAACAAATGTCTTGATAATAAATCATGTAATCTTGCAGAGTAGGTAAAGTTGCCGACACCACTAATACGGTGGCTAAAGCAGGACACTATACTGCCTATACAAACCTGTGTGGTGACCAGAGGCCCCTACTTTGAGAAAGATCTACAAAAACGCAGACATTTAAAAGGGTGGATTTATCGGGATTTAAATTTGACAATTTAGATTAAATAGTGATAAATCCTCGTGTTAAATACCGAGAACATTAACACTTCGGTCAGAAATGGTGAACTACTGATAAATATCACGGTCAATTGTGGCAGAGACATAACAAAATACATTTATGCATGACCCGAAAAAGTAACCGTAATATACATCGTACAAAATGAAAGAAACTTTATTTAATATCACATGTATAACAACAAAGGATATAAACATGCGATTTACTTATCTATTTATTTATCTATTTGTTTATTTATTTCAACAGATAAAGTTAACTTTTATTGCAAACTTATATAATGCCGTTTAGTAGTTTAGCAATCCAGTTGTATATGGATACATAATTCCTGATCATCGGAGAAGTTTATTCTGGCAGTATTCAAACTTACATGTTATTCTCACACACCGTATGCCCGATTAGTTCCCAAGATTTAAATCCGGATTATGTAGTCACTTGGATTTATGAGGAATGAAGAACCCCAATAAACATTTAAATCGTCTGACATTTTTGTCATCCACATAACACAAAGGATTATGAGATCATGTGATTGGGTAATATGAGTACTGCATGGAATTATATTTTGTTTGAAGGCATCATTCTCGATGTTGAAAAGTTATCTTATAAATTCTTACCGAACCATTTTCGTGTCATTCAATTTAGCATTGCGCGAAAAAACGTATAGCAACATAAAGCAAAGACAGAACAAATGCCATTCTGCATTGTACGTAGTCGGTATATAATAGGCAAATATATTTAATTAAAAAGGCTGCAAGTGAAAAGTTGAGATTTATATTGCAAATGTATTTAGTAGAACATATTTCATTCAAACGCTGGGGAATCCTGGGAGATGTGAGTAGTGGACAATTCACAACATTTTTAAAAGTAAAGAAAAGAATTAAAAAAAATAAAAATATGAAATGTAAATTGAAAGAAATTTGATATAAAGAGGATTTAATCTTATTTCTGAGAGCCGCTTGATCCCCTCCAGGTTTATTCGTGGAAACGCATTTTTAAACAAAGTCAAATTTCTACTGTACAGTTTTGTAATAAGTTATTTGATAGTCTTTCGTCGCTATTGTCCGGTCTACCTACTAGAACATTCAAACTAGCAATACACAAAACAAATATAAGACTATTGAAATTTGGCAAATGCCAATTTACTCGATCAATAGGCCTCGATCGATTGTATAGAGCCGAAACGTGACAAATGATAAACCTGGCCAGGTTTTGTCCTGTCGTCACCAGGCTCCACTATCTAATACTACTAACCTGCAAATTCAACCTTAAATTCATTTTAAAAATTATGTACTTCTGAGATTAACAAAAGCCCGATAAAATGCGAGAAAAAGTGTGTGCGATTAAAAGCGAGAAATGCACCAACACGAAAACATTTACTCACCCCTAAGATAGCAGACGCTTTTTCTTCGTCACCAAGTTTGTACAGATAATGTCACCTTCAAGACTAAAGAGCGCATGACAGTTGTTTCTGCATCGGTGTATTTGATTGGCTTAAATTTCAGTTCAGTATCATCTTGTTTTTAATATAAATATTTAAAATAAAGATTTTGCAAGATTATTTCTATGATTCCTTACCAATATATAAATTGTTTATGTAATAAGGTATACGGATCCGTTATTTTTAATATGATACGTGCTGGCAGCACCAAAACATGTTAAAACCTGTTGGAAGATTTCGACCAATCACATATCTTCTTACAAACAGACACTCGGCGCTGCACATAAACAAATATGGCGACTACCAAGAAGGATACACCCATTCCTGCTCTTCGTGTCAGTCAGGTTTGTAAGATCTGTGTGGTAAAATGTCGCTACTGGAGTCAATCTATATTTACCTTATGTTTTGTTTTAAATAATAAATGCACTGTCAAACCTGAAGATGACTCCGTATTCCAGTATCAATATTTTCACCTGTTCAATTTATGAAACACGTGTTTTTTGTTGGTGATCTAATTACAGAAAGTGATTGTTTTTTTATTATTTAATGCACTAGCAGATAACATCGTATGCTTGAAACAAAGTTATTAAACATGCGCACATAAAATTGTAGACCATGCTGTCAGCGTGTCATCACAGACTGGAATAACGTGTTTGTGTAATTCGGTATTTGACACAACATCATATGCAGTTTAGACTAGCTTATCCCTTTTGTACTGAACGTTTAACAGTACTTAGAATGTGGTTAGCTATAAGTGTTGTTGGGTTACATAAGATCTACAGTATAATAAATCAAGTTTTCAATTCAACCACAATTTCTGTGACTGTTCTATGTATGTTAGACTATCACAGCCTGACTATCAGAGAACTAGAGTATCATATAGATGTCTGTGTCTATATAGAGAGATACAAGCGGCTGTCATACATACAATGTAGACGACAGAAATCAGATACTCATAAATCATATTCTGTAGCAATCCATCAATACATAATTAATTAACTCTGTACGATATAACCATTATAGCCATATTTTTTTCAATATTAAGTAATATGACCAGTAAAAGAATGCTTTGATAATTGAATTTAAATCCAGAATGTAACAATACTCTTCTTTCACCATTTAAATTTTTCTCCTCAACCATTTTTAACATATTTATATGTAATCAACTTCAATTCCTTGTTATGATGGATGGCCATCAACACCTAACAACTATATCAATAAATCACCTACAGATATACATTACTGAACAAGCTACAATATATGACAGACATGATACCTGTAAAGAAAACATCATATATAAGATACAAGATTAACAAGTTTTCTTTTAAACTTTATATGTACTATCACTGATGTTGGAAATCCTTGTTGGAATGTAAGATTATTTACTTTTTGTACATATATGTTGGGCCTAGAAAAATTAGTGCTGAAAGTTTTTTTTTTATTCTCTTTGATGAAACTAAGCCTTGTAAATCTAAAAATTTGGAACAGAAAGAATTGTAGGATATGCTGCAGATTCTAGTGTAATTTGGCATATGAGTAATAAAAAATATGATTTCATAGTTAATTAAAAAGCAACATTGCCTCAGACTAATATATGGGTTTCAATTAAGTCTCCTCATTGAGAGTGAGTTAAGAAATATTCATGAACTTGATTTCCATATTATGTACATTGTAGCTTTCTATACTTAATAGTATCTGTGTATTAAAAGAAAAAGGAATAGTTTGAAGATTTTTTTTATCCTGTCTTTTTCTTTAAATATTTTCTTATTCTGTGGTTTCAGCTTGATGCTGCCGAACTTGACAATGAAGTTATCTCCCTTATAAAGAGTCAGCTGATGCAATTGTTTAAATATCATCAGGTAATTATTATACCCTCCGCAACAAAATTAGTGGCGTATACTGAAATCAGCTCGTCAATTTGTCTGTGAACAAATTTTTTTCAGCTTGGATTTTCCTTAGTTTACAGTGGATTATTTTTTTCAAATTTCATTCGAATCGTCAGTGTTCAGTTAGTTAGTGCTCTCTGAAGTGATTTTTAATTTCAACCCTTTTTAAGGTTGTTATGCCCCTTTTCTATGAAAAATGAACACAATGTTGTAAGTAACTGTACCTTATGGAGCTGGGCCCCCTAGGCAAAGTGGTGGTAATACATGTCACCTTTGGTTACAACTTTTGGTGACACCCCCTTGTTGTCAACTGTAGTTGAATTTGACTATTTACAGATTTCATTTATTGTTTCAAAGTTAGACAGAATTTTGAAAATATACTGTTATCTGCTATGATTTGGGGAGAGTGTCAAAAATAATATGCTTAAAATTAACCTGTATATATGTCTGTAGGGCGAGAAAGTGGGTAAGCTGTAAGTCAAAGTATTAGGCCATTGGTACACTGTGATTGAGTGCTTGGATTGAATGACCATTTTTACTAATATCAATTATTTCATATTTATTGAAGAAATACATGTATTTCTATCAACTTTATAACATGTGTAATGATATCTGTGGGTTTTTTATTTCTAGTCAAACACACTTGTAAAGTACGGACCTGAGGTGGATGCACTTCTCAAAATTCTCGTCTGGAAGGTAAGAAGTCAATCTATTCCTGGAATTTATAGAGAGCTTGTTCCTCAACTTTAACTTGGCTTTGTTACTCTGAGTTAAATGTTCTTATATGGCAACCTTTCTTTCTCATACCGTTCAAACAAACAGAACCTCTCTATACATCAAACAGATTCGATTAAACACCATTAAACAAAGAAACCTGTCTGCATCAGTTATGACTGTTAAGTCTGGTAACATATGCTTACCCATAGTCTGCATTATGTTGATGTCGTTTTATACCAATTACAACAGGATTTAAATTTAGATAGTTTTTGACTATGTTAACTCTGACATTTCAAATTTTTATTTATATTTTAAACAATATTGTCATATCATTTGAACTGGTGTGACAGAATTTATTAAATTTATTTCTAAATGACCTCACAAGCTACCAGTAATCATTACTGACAGTATGGTCAGTCAAGTGGAACTGTTATATTGACTGTGAAGCATTACTGTTTCTTTGCTAATGATGATAATGTCAGAATGTCACATGTTAAATGTCGTTTGCAGTATTTTTAATAACCCTTCTCTCTGGCTGGATCATTTCGTGACATCACTATGTAAATGTAGATATATACTTACACCATAATACAGGTTATGTTTTTATTGCCACACTCCAAACATGATCCAAATAAAGATATTTTCTTATAAATAGAAGATTTACAGTTTTGTCTGAAGAAGAAACTTTTATGAAAAGAAATCCACTTCAATAAGGTGTTTGTTGTTACAACTGACTATTGGGTCGCTGGTCAAATAAACACTGGACACTAGATCTAAGCCCATTACAGTTTTGTATGTAAATACTACACAAACTCAGTGTACCTAAGTAGCTATATATTGATTAAGTACTGATATATGATCAGGGAAAGGTATATCAATGATATTTCTATTGACTCTGTATGTATTTCTAATGACCCTGTATATCAAATAACCTTATTTTTTTTGATGACCCTTTCCTTCTAATTGCCCTGTATTTTACAATGACCCTGTATGTCTAATGACCCTGTATTTCTAATTACCTTTTATTTTAAAATAACCCTGATATCTAATTGCCTTATATTTTGTAGTAACCCTCTATTTCTAATTGCCTTTTATTTTGTAATAACCCCCTATTTCTAATTGCATTTTATCGTAAAATAACCCTGTATTTCTAATGAAAATGAACTTGTATTTCACACTGACCCTACATCATTGCTTTGTATCTTATAATGACCCTGTATTTTATGACACTTTATTTCTTACAGTCTAAGATATCAAATTAATGGTCATGTTTACATCTTGTTATGATCATTCCACTGTTTGCCTATTGGCACAAGGAACCTGGGTGTAGTGGACATGGAATATGACTGTTTGAAAACATTTGAATTAGAACATTACATTAGCGGAGATGACGCTGTCATTGTCCACAGGCCTGCTATGGGTTTACTGTTTATAGTATGGATTTAAGCAATCATACTGTATTGTCTTTGTACCTGGCAGTGACTAATTATTTAATCATTGTAATTATTTTGTGCAGTGGATACAGATAGATAATGATAATGTATTACAACATCTACACAGCATCAGACAACATTTGTCAGGGGTGAATATCTACAGATAGACTGAACTGTCACTATTTGTCGGGGTGAATATCTACAGATAGACTGAACTGTCACCATTTGTCAGGGGTGGATATCTACAGAGAGACTGAACTGTCACCATATGTCAGGGGTGAATATCTGCAGAGAGACTGAACTGTCACCATTTGTCAGGGGTGAATATCTGCAGAGAGACTGAACTGTCACCATTTGTCAGGGGTGAATATCTACAGATAGACTTAACTGTCACCATTTGTCAGGGGTGGATATCTACAGAGAGACTGAACTGTCACCCTTTGTCAGGGGTGAATATCTACAGATAGACTTAACTGTCACCATTTGTCAGGGGTGAATATCTACAGATAGACTTAACTGTCACCATATGTCAGGGGTGAATATCTGCAGAGAGACTGAACTGTCACCATTTTTCAGGGGTGAATATCTGCAGAGAGACTGAACTGTCACCATTTGTCAGGGGTGAATATCTACAGAGAGGCTGAACTGTCACCATTTGTCAGGGGTGAATATCTACAGAGAGACTGAACTGTCACCATTTGTCAGGGGTGGATATCTACAGATAGACTGAACTGTCACCATTTGTCAGGGGTGAATATCTACAGATAGACTGAACTGTCACCACATGTCAGGGGTGAATATCTACAGATAGACTGAACTGTCACGATTTGTCAAGAATGAATATGTATGGAGAGATTTAAGTGCCACTTCCCTCTCTGGAAACACACACTGACACATTAAAGTGTGGACAGTTAGTGACCTCCCTCCCTGGAAACACACTGACACATTAAAGTGTGGACAGTCAGTGACCTCCCCTCTCTGGAAACACACACTGACACATTAAAGTGTGGACAGTTAGTGACCTCTCTCCCTGGACACACACACTGACACATTAAAGTGTGGACAGTCAGTGACCTCCCCTCTCTGGAAACACACACTGACACATTAAAGTGTAGACAGTTAGTGACCTCCACTCTCTGGACACACACACTGACACATTAAAGTGCAGACAGTAAGTGACCCCCTCCCTGGACACACACACTGACACATTAAAGTGTGGACAGTCAGTGACCTCCCCTCTCTGGAAACACACACTGACACATTAAAGTGCAGACAGTTAGTGACCTCCCCTCTCTGGACACACACACTGACACATTAAAGTGCAGACAGTTAGTGACCTCCCCTCCCTGGAAACACACACTGACACATTAAAGTGTGGACAGTTAGTGACCTCCCCTCTCTGGACACACACACTGACACATTAAAGTGCAGACAGTTAGTGACCTCCCCTCCCTGGAAACACACACTGACACATTAAAGTTGGGACAGTAAGTGACCTCCCCTCCCTGGAAACACACACTGACACATTAAAGTGTAGACAGTTAGTGACCTCCCCTCTCTGGAAACACACACTGACACATTAAAGTGTAGACAGTTAGTGACCTCCACTCTCTCACACACACACACACTTCCTCTGGACACACAAATAGTTTGTTACATCAATCCCCTCTGTGGAAACACACACTGACACATTAAAGTGTGGACAAAGTGACCTCCCCTCTCTGGACACACACACTGACACATATATCAGCAGATTGTCCCCTCTCTGAAACACACACTGACACATTAAAGTGCCAGACACTCCCCTCTCTGAAACACACACTGACACATTAAAGTGTGGACAGTTAGTGACCTCCACTCTCTGGACACACACACTGACACATTAAAGTGCAGACAGTAAGTGACCCCCTCCCTGGACACACACACTGACACATTAAAGTGTGGACAGTCAGTGACCTCCCCTCTCTGGAAACACACACTGACACATTAAAGTGCCATGACCCCCTTGTGTGGACACACACATGACAGGGTTTTTACAAAGATGACCTCCCCTTCTGGACACACACACTGACACATTAAAGTACCAAAGATGCCATCCCCTCATGAAACACACAACACATTAAAGTTTTTACCAAAGATGCCATCCCCTCATGTCACAACCCATCAGGGTTATTACCAAAGATGCTATCCCCTCATGTCACAACCCATCAGGGTTATTACCAAAGATGCTATCCCCTCATGTCACAACCCATCAGAGTTTTTACCAAAGATGCCTCCCTCTCTGAAACACACACCACATCAAGTTTTTACCAAAGATGCCATCCCCTCATGTCACACTCATCAGAGTTTTTGGACACACACATAACATAAAAATAAACTTTATTGACCTTTTAACACACATTGACACATTAAACAAGTTATGTCACTCTCTACACACACATCACTAAAGTGTTGGCTCCGGATGTACACGACGCATTAAAGTGTGGACTTATCTGTGGGACACATTAAAGTGCAGACAGTAAGTGACCTCCCCTCCCTGGAAACACACACTGACACATTAAAGTGTGGGACAATAATTATGTGTGCCTTTGCATTCCTACCTGTTTACTGGTCACGGCACCATTCAACTTCCTCTGTAAAAATAGTTTGTTACATCAATAAAACTGTAAAAAGAATATTACATGAATAGTGTGGAAAGTTAGCATCCGACTCATAAGGTAATATATCAGACTGTGTATGTCATACCTGAATGATGCCATCCCATCATGTCACAACTCATCAGAGTTTTTAACACTGCGCCACCACTAAAGATGCCATCCCCTTATGTCACAACTCATCAGAGTTTTTACCAAAGATGCCATCCCCTCATGTCACACCTCATCAGAGTTTTTACTAAAGATGCCAGTCCCTTATGTCACAACTCATCAGAGTTTTTACCAAAGATGCCATCCCCTTATGTCACAACTCATCAGAGTTTTTACTAAAGATGCCATCCCCTTATGTCACAACTCATCAGGGTTTTTACCAAAGATGCCATCCCCTTATGTCACACCTCATCAGAGTTTTTACTAAAGATGCCATCCCCTTATGTCACAACTCATCAGAGTTTTTACCAAAGATGCCATCCCCTTATGTCACACCTCATCAGGGTTTTTACCTAAAATGCCATCCCCTTATGTCACAACTCATCAGGGTTTTTACCTAAAATGCCATCCCCTTGTGTCACAACTCATCAGGGTTTTTACCAAAGATGCCATCCCCTTATGTCACAACTCATCAGAGTTTTTACCAAAGATGCCATCCCCTTATGTCACAACTCATCAGGGTTTTTACCAAATATGTTGTCCCATCATGACATGACATAATACTGTTTAATCAGTCATTCTTCACCTCAAGTTTTACAGGGTCTTCATTGATTGGTCAAGTGGTGTTATAGAACTGGGCAGTTAGAGTTACTGTTGGTCATTTACAGTACCACAAAATGACCTCTTCGTATGGTAAAGTTCTGTTGGATGATAGACATATAATTATACTTATATGATTACA